TACTCCGTATTAGGTGTGGACCGTATTAACTTGCTCACCAAGATTGATTTTTGGGAGTAGTATATATACAGGTGTTGTATTCAATAATAAAATCATCAATGGCTGAAGTCAAATCTCTAATTGTGAAAAGCTAGTCAAGGACTGTGCTTTCTCTCCTCCTCGCCACGGGCATGGAGGGATTGATATCTTCGAAACAGACTACCATTATGTTTGGATGCATTTTTACGCGCTTAAGGCGCTTTATTAATCCATCCACCCAATTGTCTATAGTATATTCACCATGTTACTTAGAAGTCCTAGAATAGATTACATTTGTAGCAAGCTTATGCAGATATACTCCCTCCGTCTATAAAGAATTTTGTTTTGCCAAGGTACAACTTCTTAATCATAGTAAGGTTCAATATTTGGAATCATAAGTTATAGCTTTGTTTTTATATTTATTTGATTAGCAAAATTTAACATAAAGTTGGGATTAAACTGGATTTGTTGTAGTAGTTGAAGCAAAAATTAACATATGATCCATCATCCGGATCAAATTGATTCAAAGGCAAATAATTCCACACCCATACATGGCTGAACACTAACAGACACAACAGACTATAAACCTACCACAACTATGAGACTAACATTTTTTAAGTGGTCTAAGGCTTCCAACACACACCGTACCATTCATGATTGGCCTTACACAATTAATTCATTAGCAAAAACCAAGCCAGACAACTCGAGACCTTTACACATGGGATGAAATCCAAATTTCTTCACTTGAGCAAAGTAAATCAAAGTTCTAGTTTGATAGTCCATCACCAGTGCAGACAGCAAAGGGGACATGGAAATGGAATAATGGAGAAAAAGTTCATTCATCATTGTAACTCCACATAAAATCCAGTTACAGAAAGGCTTAGGAAAATGATGAGCTTCCAGTAACACTGTCAAAAAGCTTTTTGACACTCTAATGTCATTTATCATTATTCATCTTGGGGAGAATCCTTTCTGGTTATAACCTCTTGCAAGTTCTTGACAAAGTATGTCAAGGAACCAACTCATTCAAAAGATCAAGCTTGTGCAGGCGAGATTTGTTTTTGCTCGAGTCTTGCACATGAGCACTAATTTTTAAAACTGGATGGCGGTGAGGTTCGAATTTGTGACCTCTTGGTCTTTGATACCATGTCAAGGAACCAACTCAACCAAAAACTCAAGCTTGTGGTTGTAGGCCAAAGAAAGGTTTTATACTCTAACAAAGTACATTATGAAAGAGGTCTCTACCTTTAACAAAAGCTCCGTGGTTAAGATGGGTTATACTTGAAAGTACATCCTTCAACCTGTTGCTCGGAATCTTTGAAATGATTTTGTAAACAGAGTATTACATTGCAGCAAGAGATGAGTCTATATTACAGGGCATTCAACTTTGGGCTTAAAAAACACATCGGTATGGTTAATCTGTTTTGGGATTTCCCACTTCTAAAAAAACCCCATAATAGCATTACAGCACTAGTGACTAACCTGCCCACAATAGCCCACTGGGGTTGAAACTGCAGGAAAAACCATCTGGTCCTGGGGGATTCATATTAGGAATTGAAAAGAATGCCTCCCTAATATGACTAGGAGGGACTGGCTTCAATAACAACAGCTGCTGGTGAACATACAAAACAGGTCCTTTGCTTACCCTGCTAGTGTGTTTAGGAACCCCCATCATATCTTTATGAATGTCAAAAAAAAAAAAATCTGCACAACCTCCTTCCATTGAATAAACCAGATGGTTCATGGATAGTAGTCACACTGAGATTGCAGATTTGCAGTCTTCCCCTTTTCACCCTAACATAAAAACTTGTAGAGTCTTCATCCCCATCAAGTATCAATTCATTCTTAGCTTGTTGAAGTTTCAATGACTGAGAAGCAGTCAGTTTTTAGTGAAAGTCCTGTAAAATGTGGTTATCTGCTGTGATCATATCCTTATTACCAGTATCTTCTTGCAACTTCCTCTAGACCTCATACAACTGGATCCTCTTCTCATCACACTGCGCATATATAGATAGAAATTTATCTTTATTGAGCTTCCTAAATTTCAAATGGCCTCTTAAACATTGCCACCTTCTTAACCACCTGATACATCAAACAACTTGATAGAATTTAGGATGGGGTAGTGATAACTGGATAGGACAATAAGACACTTGGGTTGAACCACATTAAAAGATTGAATCCAATCGATTACTTAGTTCAACTCAAGACCTTATATACTGATAACTTTTCTATTCAACTTCCGATGTGGGATAGACTCTAACACTCCCCTCAAGTGGACAATCGGGCCATTTTGAATCAAACCGGTTGACCACTTGCAAATGAACTCCCATTCCCTTGATTGTTTTTTTTGAGCGCCAACACCTAAAGGACCACGAGTCGCTGGGTATGGACTTCCATACGAGCAATCGTGTTAAACATGCAACATGCTGTTGGCTACATACTTCATACGGACAACTGGGCTAAAGACAAACGGGCCGCTAGAAATGAACGTCTAGACGGCCTTGACAAACGAGGTGGGCCAAAACTTGCTCTGATACCCTGATAGAATTTAGGATGGGGTAGTGATAACTGGATCGTGCAATAAGACACTTGGGTTGAACCACATTAAAAGATTGAATCCAATTGATTACTTAGTTTAACTCAAGACCTTATATACTGATAACTTTTGTATTCAACTTCCGATGTGGGCATAGTTATGAGTGGCGAGTGGCGGGCGAGCGGCTGTTTTTTGTGGCGAGTGGCGTGGCGAGTGGCGGGCGGTCAAATGGCGAACCAAAAAAAGCGAATATATATATATATATATATATATATATATATATAATTATTAAATACAATTAATATCTATTAAATGAAAATACACAATAAATAATATTAATATTTTAAAAGAAAAAAATCAGTATTTTTCTAAATTGAAAGAATAATACACAAATTGAATCTATAATGGTAACTATTAGACTAAAAGAATTGTAACTATCAATATTTATTAACTGAATATAACACAAACTAAAAAAAGAATAATAATATCCTGACCTGAATCTGCTGCAAGTTGACCAAGGTGAATCGCTGGGAGGTTGCGACTTCTGAGACAGGGAGCAGAGTCGAAGTTGCTACTTCAGAGAGAAGGAGCAGAGTCGACTTCAGAGAGAGGGGGCAGAATCGATTTTGACTGGGAATTGGGAGGAGAGGATCAGCGATGAAAGACGGAAGATTGGAAGGGGATAAGATCGATTAAGGTAATTGATGAACCGACTTAAGGTAATGGATCAAATCATTTAATTCCAAACGGGCTTAAGCCCAATTTAATTAAGCCATTCGAACAGATCTGAATGGCGACATAAGCGCTCTCCAGACGCCATAGGACGCAGCAAGAATGGCGACCGCCTTTCATCGCCTCAAGAACAACGCCATGCACAGCCCAAACCAGGCGTTTTAGTCTCGCCACAGCGCCATAAGCGCCATAGGCGAGCATGGCGAACGCCATTCATAACTATGGATGTGGGATAGACTCTAACACAACCATTTACCTTGACTTCCCATGTCTTCCTGAGAATGTTATGAAAGGTAGGGTCTCTAATCCACATATCACAGAGTTTAAAAGGATTCCTTGCCCTCTGCAGTCTATAAGTACTTTTTAATTAATGAAAAGGGCTCTTTTCTTGGGGCAAAAACAAGTATTTTAATAGGACTTTATCAGACAGTAGCAAGTAGTTGTAATTTATTTGTTCTAACTTATGGGAGATGGGTGAATATTGTTAACCCCATGAATACACAATTAACACAAGGTTTTCTCCTATTTATACATTGTATTACCCTTTCACGGTATACAACAGCATGCACACTGGGCCTCTTTCTCAAACTTCTTTCTATATAGTCCTCAAAGAATTTCACGAGCATTTGTATTGTAGGCCAACCCAGTTACCTGGATATTCTAATTACCATAAAGTAAAACAAAATTCAAGCCTGAATTGACAAGCATTAAATTTTGATACCCGTTATTCCCATAGCATATACTCCGTTCTAATTAACGGCTAAATTGTGTTTGGATGACCTGTCAAGTAGAGCTTGTAGCACTAGATCTTTTGAAGGAAAACTTTTATTACATCGCATGACATTAAAAAATGACACATTTGGTTAGCTTTATATTAAAGAAATATCTTTATAACTTGTTCTTAGGCAAGTTTTACAAAATCATTTTAAAGAATCCAAATATGTTGCTCTTGCAAAAAGAGTCAACGAGTTTCTTTTTGTTTAAATTCAAAGAACATTTAATTTTTATGAAGCAGCTGGCGATCAGTAAAAATAGTATTTCATTAAAAAAACCTATCTTGATTATGTTGAGGGCAGCAATTAAAGTAGTTGGAGTTGGAGTGTGTTGGAGTATAAATCCTATCTTGCGCCTACCACTACAAGCTTAAGCTTGTGGTTGAGGTTGTTCCTTGACAATGGGAGACTTGGGTTGTAGGAGGTAGTTTAAATTTTGTAGGGTATTGTATTGTAGCATCTAGGATGATTATGTGGTAGTCTTATGTGTTTGGTGGGCTGCTTGCCTCCTTGTTGCTCTCTCATCTCTCTTCCCATCTCTGATGTAGGCTTACCCGTGATCTGTATCTGTTCATGGCTACTTTCTTTGCATTCTTTTGTGCTGTGAGTCTTTTGGAGACTACTTCTCCACCCTATTGGGCAGGTCCTTGCTGTTGTATTATACTCCCTCCGTCCCAAAGCAAATTTCATTATTTGACTTCTCTAAGATTAACAAAAGTTTTGAAAACTTGTTTAGATGAAAGAGAAATGATGTGAGCCACACATTTATATCCTTAAAAGGCAACAATTAAATATTTGTGACTCATACCTATGGCCATGGAATTAGTTGACAGCTATGATAGTTTCCCACCGTGCTATTTGCTGCATTCTTTTGCTGGTGTTTTTTCCTTATCAAAAATGATTTGATTTGTTCTCAATATTGTGTGTTTAATGATATGTAGGAGGTATTGTAAACAACTCCCTGCGCCCTCAAGTTCCAACGTGGTGTGATCCTGAATGGAAGTCCCTGATGGAAAGTTGCTGGGCTTCTGATCCTTCAGAAAGACCATCTTTTTCTGAAGTTTCTCAAAAATTGAGAAGCATGGCTGCAGCAATGAACGTGAAGTGATTCTATTTCCAAGGCCTTCGCTTTTTGAATCATTCCCAGCAACTATTTTTGTCAAGTTATTAAATCTACAGAAGCATTAGAGTTTGAAAGATATATTTTGCGGGGTTATGGCTTCGTGGCTTGTTCCAGGGCTACACCAACGCCTTTGAACTGCTATGAACATCGCTCTTCATGGTTTGTATATCAGTTCCAATGCTTTATGAAGAGAAGTGCTTCTGCAATTCCGAAGTACACTGACTGCAAAGTTGTCTATAATAGGGTTCATGCTTTTAGACAATGTGTTATTGTATTTCATTAAAAAGACTATACATAGATACATACATACATACATATATATATACACACACACATATATATAGATACATACATACATACATACATACATACATACATACATACATACATACATACATATATATATATATATATATATATATATATATATATAATATTTCTTTTTCCCAATATACACACACACAGATTTTGGTTCCGGTGACCCTGGAACCGTGGGACCTGGCCGTATTTTTCCAATCTCACACACACTTGATTTCAATTTGGGAAATTTGGACAAATTCCTATGCCTTCCACTCGTCATTCTGATTATCGCCGGTTGCTTTCGAGTTTTTAGCATCATCAATTTTGTGTTTCCATATACTTTTCTCGACCCTCTTTCAGCACCTCTTGCGATTAAAATGGAAGTGATCTTTATTCAAGAATTTTTAGGGTTGTGCAAGAGTTTGAAATTGGATGCTTATCCCATCACATATGAATCGATTTGTGCTCGTATTTAAAGATTTTTTTTAATGGAGTTTTTTTTAATTACCACTGTCGATCTCGTATCACTGTGGCTGGGAAATTGAGAAGGAGAAGATGGTTAGAAGAAAGCAGGTGGTAAGTCCTGATTAGGCTAGGGATGGCTATGGCGATCGGTTTAGCTGTGTACTTGTGCCATTGGACGATCGACTACCGGATCTCTTCCGATGATACAGAACTGGTCAGGTTTGTTTCCTGACTTTCTTCAGATATAAATCTTGTACAGTGCTATGGAGTATTTCCTTTGAAATTGAGGTTTGCAATTGAAAACTGATTGAACAATTTCCTTTCAGAACACTGCATATTGCTACTCGAAACAGTGTATGCTCACTCAGCTGTAATGTTCTTTTAACTTTTCAATACTACATGGATCCACTAGCTTAAGTGTCTTAGTTCATAAGGCCTTTAGAAAATTCTTGCAATATATGCCCACAAAACTACCCGGATATTGGAAGAATAATAATTGGAAGAATAAGGCCTTTGGATATTGGAAGAATAATAATTTCTGTTTTCCATGCGTGTTTTTTATGTTGCATCCTGTGGTATATATCAGTATGTAATTAAACCACTTTGTTTATATCAATTTATGATGCTATATTATTTATTCGTTAGATTTTTGGACTCTTTTTATGGATTTTATAATGAGTAAATTCCTAAAATGGTATTCAATAGTTATGTGTTTTTTCAAAATAGTCCCCAAGATTAACAAAAATTACCGAGATGGTACTTGCTAATTGAAAATAATGTCCACTTTAGTCCCCCGACAAACGGTCGTCAAAGCAGTCGTCAAAACGGCATTAAAACTTATACTAATTTTCTAAATCGATCATATATAATTTAGAAGGGTGATTTACCTAAATAGGACTAAAACATAATGACTTTCTCAATAAAGGTCCATATGTTTTTATTTTTCAATGTAGGACCATTGCTTATTATCTATTAGTCATTATTCAACTAAATATCAAGCATCACTTGGACATTATTTTCTCACTAGTCATTATTAAGTCCTATTTAGGGAATAAAAAAGTTTAAGTTCTATATTAAGAAATGACTTATGTTTTAGTCCTATTCAGTGCAAATTTTACAATTTAGAAATTACAATAAATAGGACTAAAACATATAGAAAAGTACAGAAGTAGGACTTACATATTTTTTCCCTGAAATAGGACTTCGCACTGTGGTAATGTGGTTGTAATGTGGCACTGTACATGTGCACATTACTATACTTTTTGGTAATGAACAAGACCACGTTTGGTAATGTAAATGCATTTTAAGTCCTATTTCGGGAATAAAAACATGGAAGTCCTATTTTGGTATATTTTCAATGTTTTAGTCCTACTTTGGTCTTTCTCCCTATATAATTTGATGCTTTTTCATATTAGTCTATTTTCGATGTAAAAAATTACCTATTTATTATAAAAAACTAAAAAAGGATTCTTCCATTTTAATAGGTGTTTGAGCGAAGCCGGAAGACCACTTTTTATGAGATTTTATTTCGAAAATTGACTAATTTGAAAAAGATCGATTAGAAATGATCATTTTGGAGAATAAGCATAATTTTTAATGTCGTTTTGATTTCATTTAATGGCAGTTAGTTGGCGGGATTAATTGGGCATTATTTTCAATTAATGAGTATCATTTCGGTAATTAGTTCATCTTAGTGACTAATTTGGAAAAAAACATAATTATTGAGTACTATTTTAAAAATTTATTCTTTTATAATCGAGTTATTCACATTTTGTAGCATCCGATTTCAAACTTTTGGATTATTCTCCATTCTTGCCGGAAAAATCTAAGATGCAGGACCATGTAGTATTCCCCGCAGTTATATTATACATCTGGTTGTACCCAATTTGGGTACAACCAAGAAATTATTTATGGTATGAATTTTATTTTACACGAGAATGAACACCTAAGTTATTTGAGAATGAGTTTTGTTTTGTTTCAGAATGAACACTACATTATTTATAGATGAATATTATAATTATATTGAACCAATGTGTGAAAATGAGTACTGCATTATTTTACAATGAGTACCACGCTAATTATATTTGTGCGAGAATGAATACTACTCTACTTCAGAATGAGTACTACCCGGATGTACCGTACATCTGGTTGTACTATATACTTTCAGAATATAGTGTTATTTTTACATATGGGCTCCCTTTTCTCTTTAGATAGTATTTTGCATTATTATTATTGTAGAAGTGTCACTCTCAAACTTCACTACTCGCCTAATTTCTATTTCAAATTCCTCTCTTATATTTATAATACTAGTATTTTAACTCGTTCCAAGCACGGGGTTGAACGAAATTTTTGTTCAGTGTAATATTTTTAAATTAGTTTATGAAAACATATTTAATGTGTTTTTAACACCATAGACATTAAAATCAATGTAAAACAAGTAATTTAGTATTTAATATTTGGTAATGAAAATGCTTATATATAAATTCAATAGTAAACACCTCAAATTCTTTTTTTAAATCCATATTTTTTGAAAGCTTTTAGAGAATACAATATTTTTGGTGTGGTTGCTAAGATTTTTATTATCATTTAGAGCTAATATTTTTAATATTATAACCTTATCTTTATTTTCACTCGTGAAACAATGACATAAAGTTGACCATAAGTGAACATCAACTTGGTTAAAAATAATCTAACAAATGATAATGTTTGACATTGAGTTTTGTTCATAGTCATAACAAAACATAAAGCATTCATCATCGTATATCTTCCTCTAGTCTTCATTCATTCTAAATATATATTGTTTAAGATCATATGATAAATTTTCTTAGTCATAGTTCAACTTCTCTACCAAGAAATTAGTTTAAAATCTATTAAGTGGAATGTCATCTCGGAATGACATACCACTAAACACCTATAGGGATCATCTATTTGAATTAAGTAACTTTCCAATCTCAATCAAACACAAACCTTTTAGATCTTCTGTGAAAATAATAAGCTTTGCAAAATGGTCAAAACGTGACTAAAATATTCTTCATCAGTCAAATAAATGCCAATCAACCAAGACCTCCTATGATTTTTTCCAAACAACTTGAGGACAACTCATGATATTGGTCACTAATAATGTGACTAACAACTTTCTTAGCCGACTCCAAGATCTTAGTTTAGTAGTCTCTTTTATACCTTCAATAAATTCTTTATCATTGGTTAAACCTCTAATGCTTCACATGTATTCTCGAATGAGTTTTGTTCATACAACATTGTTGGTAACTGTCTTCAAGGCTTCAAACTTGGATAGCTTGTACATACCTCGTTAGACCGCTAAAAGTATTTTCAAGTAGTATAATTCTCGTGTTCATATTGGCACATATTGCAGGCGGCCTATCGATGGTCTTTGTTGCCTCGGAAACCATAGAAAAATTATGGTCACCAAAATATTTTGTTTAATTTAGTTCTTACAAAATTTCTAAACCCGTGTGCATTAATTAGAATAATATATAAAAAAGGAGGATGCATGAAAAATCTAAAGCAAGGATTTTACTTTTTAAATACCCATGATTTCTGGGAAACCTACGAACGATGTTTATGATTTTTATAGATGTATGTTGAATTGATAAAATAAAATAATAATCGTAAAAATGTATACCTGTTTATGTCTTTTTTGTTAAAGTATTCATTTTCTCCTTTCTCTTCCAAGTCTAGATGATGATCTTGTCCATCTCTCGTCAAGCTAATTCTCCCTGTTTCCAATGTTGTAGAAACTTGGATACTCTTACCAACAATACGTAAAAAACCCAAAAGATAAAGTTTAAATACTTATTCTGTCTTTTTTAATCACAATATGTGTTGGGGAAATTAACAAAAACATGGATGAATCGAGAGTTGTGTATAAATGGGTTAGTTGTGACAACTAACCCATTTACTAGAAAGTAAACCAACATCTCAAAATTACACTACAAGAAAACACGAAAAGGATGACTGAAAATGGAGATGGAATAATTTCCGTCGTTAATAGAGACGGAATCAACGACGGATTGGAGATGCCTACCAGTCTTAGCGACGAAAACTACAATCTGTCGTTAAGTAGACGCGGGAAGTAGTGCGCGCTACTTTTAGCGACGGAGTTAGCGACAGAAATGAACCGTCGTTAATTTGGCGACGAAAATAAACCGTCGCGTAAAAGTAATTTCTCTATCCGCTTCAAAACGCTGCCGTTTTGCTAAGCGATGGAAAATTTCCATCGCTAGGTTGTGTTGCTGCCCGTAAATTAGAATCGGATCTCCTTTTCTTTTCCAGAAAAAACCATTGCACACCACAATCGTAAATTCCGTCCAGTCGCCACCATAGTCGCTGCTTGCCGTCCACCACGCCGCTGCCCTCCGCTGCTCGCCGCCATTCACCGTCTCCTTCGCCGCCGACTGGGTTCCGTCTCTATCCACAAATCTCAGGTTTTTTTCCATTTTGTTTCACAATTGAAGTTGTAAACAATTTCGATTATATAAAGATTATCTTTATATCCTCGGATACACGATTATTATTGTTTGATGATATGAATAAAATATATAGTATTATGTGTAAATTATTTAACATTTTCTTCAAAGTTTATACATTCTTGGAATTAGGGTTTTTTTCCCCAAAAACTCAATTACATGCTTGAAACTTCTAGTGAATGACTATTATGCTTATTAATTTTTTCATATCATATTTTGGATATTGTAAATGTTATAAGAGATTATGTACGTATTATGTATGTTGTTGAATATTGTAGTTGTTATATTTATATATATATATATATATATATATATATTAGTTTTTTTGTTATAAATTTTATAAGTTAATAGTATGTTAAATTATTTGTTTGAATTTCTCAGAATGAGTGACTTTCAAGAAAATCGAGGTTGGATGTACAAAAGACTTGGCAGTTCAGGTTTTATAAATACAGATTGGGTTGACAAAGTAAGACAGTTCATTGAGTTTTGTGAGTCAAATCCAAAATTAGACAGATTGAATGGCCAGATGCGTTGTCCTTGTAAGAATTGTAAGAATAGATATTTTAAAGATATCGAGGACATTAAGCTTCATGTACTGAGACAAGGTTTCACTCCTAAATATCTTGATTGGTTTTGCCACGGGGAGGAACATGGTGACTATACGAGCCATCATCGGCTCGTACCTTTGTTGAAACTGATAGGGCAGAATACATGAATATGGTGATTGATGCTGCGGGGCCTTCCTTTAATCCTAACGTTCCAGTTGAGGAACCAAATGCTAGTGATAAAAAAATTTTTTACATGCTAAAAGCCGCTGATACTGACTTATGGAAAGGTTGCACAAAAATGTCCCGACTCTCGATGGTTGCAAGATCTCAATATTAAGGCAGAGCACAATTTGTCTGAGAGGTGTTACGACACTATTTGGCAATTGTTCAAAGACGGACTTCCGGAGGACAATTCAATGGTTTCTGATTTTTATGAGACAAAAAACTCATTCAAGGTTTTGGACTTCCAGTGGAGAAAATTCACTGTTGTGTCCAAGGTTGCATGCTTTTTTGGGGCCTAGATGCTGAGCTAACGCATTGTAAAATTTGTGAAAAGCCTCGTTACAAAGACTCTATAAAAAAGATACCAAATGGATACATGTTCTACTTTCCCCTAACGCCAAGGTTAAAGAGATTGTACATGTCAAAGAGAACAGCTGAGTCTATGCGTTGGCATGCGGAGCACAGTCACGATAGTGATGGAGATATGTGCCATCCTTTCGATTCTGAGACCGGGAAGCAATTCAACCTTTCTAATCCAACATTTGCTTCTGAAGTTCGAAATGTAAGGTTGGGTCTCTGCACAGATGGTTTTCAACCTTTCGGGAAATCGGGTTCTCAATACTCCTATTGGCCAGTAATGGTCACTCCTTACAATCTCCCGCCCAATATGTGCATGAAAGAGGAACACATATTTTTGTGTGCGATAGTTCCGGGTAAGTCTAATCCCAAAAAAAAGATTGATGTTTACTTACAACCATTAATTGCAGAATTGCAGATGTTGTGGTCCGAAGGCATTGAAACGTTTGATGTGTCATTGAGTCAAAACTTTACGTTGCGTGCTGCACTATTATGTACTATTGGAGACTTTCCGGCGTTGGGAATGATGTCTGGTTGGAGCACTGCTGGGAAAACAGCATGTCCGGTGTGTATGGACGACCTATAATCATTTCGACTTCCAAATGGTGGCAAACAATCTTAATTTGATACACACCGTAGATTTTTGCCTGTCGTCCTCCTCCTACTTTAAAAATTGGTGCACAAATATTAGAGGAGATTGAGAGGCTCGGATTGAGAAGGATTGTGGAACCTGGGGCTAAAAAGACAAACAAAGATGTTTGTAAACACCATCTTTGTGGTTGGAGAAAGAAGAGCATATTTTGGGATCTTCCGTACTGGAAGACAAATCTTGTATGACATAATCTTGATGTTATGCACATAGAAAAAAATGTATTCGAAAATATTTTTAATACTGTGATGGATGTCCAAGGTAAAACGAAAGACAATGCCAAAGCGAGGGAGGATACGAAATTATTTTGCAACAGGAAAGAGTTGGAAAGAGGTTGTGCATCAGGAAAATATCCTCAGGCACCATACACTCTTGACAAAGCTTCACGAAAGGCATTTTTAGATTGGGTAAAGGGGTTGCGATTTCCTGATGGATTTGTGTCAAATTTGGGACGATGTGTCGATCCAACAAAACTAAGAATGTTTGGGATGAAAAGTCATGATTTCCATTTTTTCATGCAACGCCTCATCCCCATTGGATTCCGAAATTTATTGCCCAAGGGTGTATGGGAGGTTTTAACTGAGCTCGACAACTTCTTTCGTTCTCTTACTGCTAAAAGTATTTAGGTCGATGATATGCAGATGCTAGAGAAAAACATAGTTGTCATACTATGTAAGCTAGAGACAATATTCCCCCCTGCATTTTTTGACAGCATGGAACACTTGCCGGTTCACCTGCCTTGGGAAGCTAGAGTTGCTGGTCCAGTTCAGTTTCGATGGATGTACCCTTTTGAGAGGTACAAACTGAAAAAAATATTATGTGTCAAATAATATATGTTAAATGCATAATTAATCCACGTATTCGCTTGTGTTATGCAGATACCTAAATCGTTTGAAGCGAATGGTAAAAAAACAAAGCAAGGGTAGAAGGATCTATTGCTAATGCGTATATTGTGAGAGAAGCATCTCATTTTTGTTCGCATTACTTTGAAGATCATGTTTACACTCGACTACACAGTGTACCGCGTAATGATGAATGAGATGTTCCTGCAGCCATCGAAAGTAACCTAAGCATTTTCCAAAGTGCAGGATGCCTAAGCGGTAAGACGAAAAAGCGAAGACTTTCTGATGATGAGTTAAAGGCGTTGCACCATTACCTTATGCTAAATAGCATCGAGATTGAACCATTCATTGAGTATGTCTCTAATTTTTTTCTATTTCTAGTAAACCATTCCGCAAGTTTATACTTAAGGCATATGATGTTGTTCATTGCAGGAAATATGTCGATTCATTAAGTGACTCAAATCCTGACGTTACCGATGAGGCTTTACTTCTGCAAATGGAAGAAAGTTTCGCATCATGGTTTGAACAACATGTATATATATCATAGCCTTAATTCAGTTAACAACTCAATTCAGTCCTTTAGTTATAATAATGAGACAACTCAAGTTTATTCATCATTTGTACTACTTTCAGGCTTGGGAAAATGTTGATACACCTCAAGTTATTCATGATGTATCAAGGGGACCTCTACCCGTTGTCAGCACATACCCTATTTATTATGTCAATGGTTATCGCTTTCACACTAAGACTCACGGTGCCAAACGTGCCACGTTTAATAGCGGTGTGTCTATTGTTGGAGAGAATTGTTCTTACTATGGTCGTGTAGAAGAAATTATCGAGGTTGAGTATCCTGCGTTACCAATTAAGCGTTGTGTTGTATTCAAATGCAAGTGGTAAGATCCACGACCCAGAGTTGGAACTAGAATGCACGACAAATATGACTTGGTTGAGGTTTTAAAAGGTGGGATATTCCTCAAATATGAACCATTCATCCTTGCAACACAGGCTAAGCAGGTAGCCTACGTAGAGTATCCTGGAGTAGCTAGTAGGGCAAAAGGAGAATGGTTAGGTGTTTGTGATGTAAAACCACGTGGCTGGGTTGAAACCACATCTGATACACAAAAGCTCCAGAGTACTGACAATTTTGCGTACCAAGAAGATGTAAGAGTGGCAGTCGAAATTGTTGAAGTTGAATCGCACGAGGAAGCTCCACTACTTCCAGAAGTTCCACAGTTAATGGATCTCGATGATAGTGAGGATGATGAAACTGATGATGTTGAGATATTAATTACTACTGATGAGAGCTCTAGCGAAAATGATTTCATGTCAGATGATGAATAATCATAAAATAGACTTTAATGTAGAAGGTGGTTGAACAACTATATTGTTGTTTACATTTTAGTATTCATATTATTAACTGTTTTACTAATCCTTTATTACTCTTCTTTGCAGATGGCTGGTGGAGATAAGTGTAAGGGTCACGCAGAGCAAACAAAGTCCAATACTGGGAAGTGGAAAGAACTTTCTAGGTTGCGACATGCCATCCTTGGTGGTGGTAGATCAGGCGGAACATCAGCTAGCGCATCTGCGAGTGCATCAGGCAGTGCCTCAGCCAGCGCCTCAAGCAGCGCATCAGCGAGGGAATCAGCGAGTGCATCTGGTAGTGCCACTGTCAGAGTGCCTACTAGGCCTCACGGCACGAATGTCACTAGCACCTCTTCCGGAGGGTTTACACGTTCCACTGATGAGTCCAGGATGCGCGATGGTGAGAGCATGGACTCAGACGAGTCGATAGAGCACGAGCATGACGATGCTATGGACCTTGGACCGAGCGTAGCATACTTTGATCGCTCTGGAAGGTGATTCTACATATATATCTTATTATTTGCATGTATACATAATTATAATATATATTATAATGTTGTAATTATAATATCATGCAGTGTCGTCTTAACGGAAGAGGGAGCTCAGATCCTTTGTTCCACATTCCAGTAGAGGCTCGACCCAACAGGGGGCAGTTGGAAGAGCCTAAGCAACGTGACAGTGGACTTATACTGGAGAGAGTTTCAGGTAAATTTTGGTTAGATACGAATATCAAATGTATGCTTTCTATATATTTGTATTTTGTTTAAGATATTTTCTGACATGTCCGGTCTAACTTCTTTTTTTAAATTTAGAAACATGCCACTTGGGACCCTCGCATTGATGATAGGGTTATGTTCCGTGCTTGGAAATCGAAGGCTCGAAGACAATACACCGACTGGCTCTCATCTATTAGGAATGAGAAGAATGGAACAGAGAAGGTGCAGCCACTTGTTTCGCAATCATGGAAGGAGGCATTTCTAAATTTTCTTTTGAATTGATGACTTATGTTATACTCCCCATCAAATCGTGTGTATATATTTCAATACTTGTATTTATATGTTGTAAAACAGTATTGGAAGTCTCCAAAGTTCTTGGCATCCTCGAAGCAAAACAAGAAAAATCGTCGTGGCGGTGACGAGAATGCCCCTGCTAGCGCCTTGTAAGTATTATTAGTAACAAAAATTACATTTAAATGTTCTAAGTGACGTGTTTTCACTTATTTATATATTTTTTTAGGGTAAAATTGGAAAGGCTTCTGACTTGTACTCTTCGTACACACACACACACACACACACACACGAAGAAACATGATGGGAAGACCTACGTCAATAAGAATGAAAAAGAAGTATCAGTAAGTGGCAATGAATATATATATTGTATACATAAATGATTAGTTTTCATTGAATTCAATTGAATGTGAAGTCATACTGCTCATTTTATTTTGCTTTTTATGTTACAAAGTATATATACATGTATGTTTTGTGTATTGCAGCAAAACTACGTAGCCATGCAGGAGGCAGTTCGTGAAGAAGGCTTAAATGCGACACCTGACGAGATTTTTCTATCTACAGTTGGAGGACATGATGCCAAGAATCGCGTTCATGGTGTTGGAGATCTCGCACGGAGCCTACCACGAATGCATGCAAGTGAGGCAAGACGTGCTAGCACTAGCTCTATGTGGGACCCTCGAGATGATGAGATCAGGAGGTTGAGAGAAGAGCTAGATGAAATTAGAGCTTCCCAAACGCGTGAATTATTGTCGATTCGAGAAGAGATGACCCGACTTTATGGAGGAGTTTTCCCACGTGGAAATGGAGATGGCGGTGGAGATGGAGGAGGGTCGGGGTTTGTAGGGGTTTGTTGAGTGTTTTATTAGAATTGAAGAACATTATATTAAACTTAAGTGTTATGGTTATGTAAGTGGAGTTATATTTCTTTGTTATGACGCATTTATAAATATTATTTGAATTTTAGTTGTTGCTTGGTGATTTGAGTATTTTTGGTTGTTTGGTACTCTTCATTTTTAGTATTTGATGGTTGTTGGATGCTGTGATGTGATTTAGAGCAGGTGGTTGATGTTTTTGTTGTGTGAAATTGTAAAAATTGCAGGTTTATTTGCAGTTGCTGTCAAATGGGCGACGGAATTAGCAAAAAATTGCAGGTTTATTTGCAGTTGCAGTTACTTGGCGACGGATTTTAAAAACCGTCGTTAAAATTAATACTAACGAAAAAGTAGTGACGGAATAGAAACCGACGTTAAACGAATTGTTAGACGCACTAGTACTCACGGCATCCGCCAAAAAGTACTTAGGTATGTTAGCCTCACTAAGCATAGTTCTCGCCATCTCTTTGAGAGATCGGTTTTTCCGCTCAACAACGCCATTCTGTTGAGGCGTTCTTGGGGCTAAGAAGTTATGTGCAATGCCTAGTTCATCGCAGTAGGTATCAAACCCACTTTGAACCTTCTTAGTGAATTTGCGAAAAGATGAAGGTGCATTACTCTTGTGAGAAAGAAATAAGGTCCATGTATAACGTGAGTAGTCATCAACAATAACCAAGGCATAGTAATTACCACCTAAACTCATAGTTCGAGAAGGTCCAAAGAGATCAATGTGCAAAAGCTGCAATGGTCTAGAAGTAGAAACAACTTTCTTTGATTTGAAAGAGGTTTTTACTTGTTTACCCTTTTGACACGAATCACAAATTCCCTTTTCAAATTTGAGTTTAGGAACCAATTACTAGGTCTTTTGAAACTAATTTATTAATTAGTTCCATATTGGTGTGACCAATTCTTTTATGCCATAGCCACATCTCTTCCTCTTTAGTAATGAGGCAATGAGCAAAGTCCGTTGAAGTATTTTCAAGGTTGATCATGTAAATATTATCTATGCGATCGCCGGTAAGGATAATCTTGTTATCACAAAGACGTTCAACCATGCAGTGATTAGAAGTAAAAGTAACACGGTTATCTTTATCACACAATTGACTAATGCTAGACCAACAACACATTTTCAATTCCGGAAGCTTTGTTTTTGCCAACAGTTCCGGTTCCAATGATCTTTCCTTTGTTGTTGTCGCCAAATATGACATTTCCACCATCAATTGATTTTAGAAAAACAAATTTGGATGCATCTCCGGTCATGTGCTTGGAGCATCCGCTATCAAGGTACCATAGTACACTTGATGCCTTCAAGCACGCCTGTACAATTATTTAATTAGGGGTTTTAGGTACCCAAATCTTTTTGGGTCCTTGAGAGTTAGTATGAGCATCATAAACATCAATGTGTGCCCTCTTCCTATCCTTAGCAATTAATCTAAGCTTCCTAAAACATACAGGAGCTATGTGTCCAACGTGATCACAGAAATGACAAACAACCCTAGGATCATAGATATATCTATATGGACTAGAGAGTCTCCTATGTGTCCTAAAGTTGCTAGGTTGTCTAGGGGCATTCCTTACATTCCTAAAGTTGCTTGGTTGTCTATTTCTAGGAAATTGTCAAGGTTGTCTAGTGAACCTGTGAGCAACGTAATTCCTAGACTGACTAGGTTTTCTCATCCTAGAAGTAGTGGTGGGAAATGCTACTCTAGGTTTAGTCATCTTAGTGTTACTACCAATTTTATGAACTATATTACTCCTATCCTAAGGATCCTCCAAAGGTCTTTCTCCTTCTTTAAAGAAATTCACCTTTTTAAAACCTTTAGATTTATAGCCTAGTCCATTTTTATTGTATTGTCCTTGTTGAACTATAAAGTGCATATCTTTGCTAGCCTTGTTATATTTTCCTAAATGTTCATGCAATCTAGCTATCTCTTCTTCATGAATTTTACATTGTGCAAAAGGTGAGTCAATGCTAACTTTGCCAAGTTTCCTATTCTCAAGTTTTAACACTTCCATCTCTTTATTTAATTCAATTATTTTGGCTTCAAGAGATGTTACACTATCCTTGGCAATTTTATCTTCTTTGGTGGATTTAAAGAATTCACCATAGAGATCACTAAATGCACTATGTAATTCATCTAAGGAAAAACAATCATCAGAATTAGATAAGGGAGTGGTATAAGAGCTAGATGATACCTCATCCTCAAGTGCCATAAGACATAAGTTTGCCGTTTCTTCTTCATCATTACTTGCTTTGGAAGATGAGCCACTATTGTCCCATGAAATATAGGCTTTTTGCTTCTTCTTGAACTTCTTGTCCTTCTCTTGTTTCAATTTTGGAATATACGGCTTAATGTGTCCCACTTCACCACATTCGTAGCATTTGAGCAGTGTGGTCTTCTTAGAATTGTCCTTTCTTGGCTTGAAATTTTTCTTGACAAATTTGTTGAAGCGTTTGATAACAAGAGCAAGTTCGGGATTCTCTTCCGTATCACTTGAGTCTTCATCATGGCTCACTTCCTCAATCTCCTTGGTAGACTTTAATGCAATAGATTTCCTTTGCTTGTTATCAACCGGAGGATAAAGAGTAGATGTCTCATAGGTGAGTAGCTTTCCCCTTAGCGTGTCATATGTCAAGGTGTTGTAATCTCTTCCTTCACTAATGGCTCTTATTTCGGATTTCCACTCGGGAGTAATACATCGTAAGATTTTCCGAACCAAATCATGATCAGTGTAGTGCTTTCAAAGAGTGTCAAGATTATTGATAATATTTGAGAATCTCTCAAAATAACTATCAATGCTTTCATTAGCTTTCATTGAGAATAACTCATATTCATGAAGTAGCAAATCAACTTTAGCATCCTTCACTTGCGAGGTACCTTCATAAGTTACCTCAAGCTTGATCCACATTTCATTTGCGGTTTTGCATCGTGAAATCTTTCTGTAATCATCCGGATTGACCGCACAATAAAGATAGTTGATGGATTTGGAATTTTGCATCACATTCTTTTTATCTCCATCATAGAATTCAGATTCCAATTTGGGTACTCGAATTCCATCAACAACTTTGTATGGAGTAGTGTCTTTGTATTTGATCACCATCCAAGAGTCGTAGTCGTTTGATTGAACAGATATCCTCATTCTTTCTTTCCAATAAGCATAGTTTGTTCCGTCAAAGAGTGGAGGACGAGTAGTTGATTGTCCCTCGGATATTCCTGCTTGAAATAATCTTCTGGCCATGATCGTGTTTCCTGCGGTAAAACTATGGAAAACAACAGGCTTTGATACCAATTGTTAGACGCCTTTCACACCTCTAGAGGGGGGGGGGTGAATAGAGGTGTTCACAAAAATAATGAAATTTTCGACTTTAAGTAGAAAAGTGCAGGAATAAAAATAAAAGGATAACGGAAATAATGAATGCAAAGAGACAACGATATATCCTGGTTCGGCCTAATGCCTACATCCAGTCCCCAAGGCAAACGTGCCCGAGATTCCACTAATCCTTGTTAAACTTAACGGAGTTTAACAATCCGAATACAACTCGAGAACTTGATTTCACAAGTCTCTAACCTTTCCACCGAAGTCTTGATTTCGCAAGACTTTGGATTTCAATTCAAAATCTTGAATTATTTCAAATTCAAGCTTTTTACAACAATACAACTTACAAAAAATTTGCACAACGGATAATACTCCTCAAACAAGAGCGGATTTGCTGTAGATTACAATCACCGTATAGTGTATGGCACACAAAAACTTTCCAACTCAAAGTGAAGAAATATTTCTCAAATGAAGAGCTTGAATATTGAGTAGGAAGATGAAGACTTGAATGAATCTCTTTGTTTTAATCAAAGGAATGTAATTGAAAGTGTTCTTGGGTGTTCTTCTTAATTGAAAAGACGAGACAAGTTGAATTAAATAAGGATAGGGATAATGTAACCTCTAGTAAGATTCAAAAAGTGTACGTTAATCTGTGAAAACTGCCGATTCATTCGAATAAAACATAATTTATTCGAATAGTTTGAGTAAAACAGGATTTTTCAAAACACATGGCTTATTCGAATAATTACTGGATTTATTTGAATAAAACATAATGAACTGCAAAACTGGGAGCCCACTTATTCGAATAAATAGCAATTTATTCGAATAAATTCCAAAACTTTGGAAGAACTAGAATCAGCCATTATTCAAATAAAACAAGCATTTGTTCGATTAAAACAGGATTTTTCAAAACACATGGCTTATTCTAAGCAACGTGCTAGGCAATCCACTTGAAAAGATCCAAATGCAAAGCTCATCCCATATGCATGGTTGTCATTATCAAAACACAAGGGTCAACACGAATTACCTACGGAAATAAAGCTTTGGCGACGGAATTTTTCTGTCGCTATTTAAGCAGCTTTTTGTAGTGTTAGTTCATCACTTGCGTATATTTCAAGCTAAAGTATAAAAGGTCAAAGTGAACTAAATTAAAATATGCATTGATGTGGAAGATATAGTCCAAAGCTTTAATGCTCGTCATTGTCTACATCTTTAAGTTCATCGCTCTCAGCTTCATCATCTTTGTTTCATCGATCTTCATCGTGACTTTTCTCAGTGGTTGTATTACCATCAATTGTAAGGTAACCGATTTCAAATTGATTAGCCATTGAACCCTATGCAAAAAAGTATAAGCACATGATAACGTAATTACAAATTTTGCACCAAATTTACCTTACACTCATGCTAGGTGGCATACCTTTAAACTATATAATGAACTAAACAAAAATCAAATGACATATGGGTAGTTAACAATGATAAATAAACACTAACCAGGGTATTTAAAAGCAATGATACTCCATCTTCTAAATTCTGGAGTCTCTCTTTTGTTTCTTCATGCTCTTGTTCAATTTTCAATCTTTTTGATTTCTCCTCATTCAAGGCGTGTAACACCCTGAAATATACCCTAGAATTTCATAATGAATTTTTAATAAATGGCAATTCTAATTTTTTTTTGTTTAAATTAAATAAACGTCAAACAAAAATGTTAAAATAAGATATTTCAAAAAGAATCTTTTAATCGTCAAGATTATACTCGAATTGAAGGTCTCGATGGAACGAGTTCAATGACATGTCCCGCACACAAATCCAAGTTACGAAGGTTGGGGGCTGACTGTCCCAAAACCAAAAAGATTATAACAAAAACGAATAAAATACAAATATGACGTCAACATAATATTATCCAACAAAATTTGGGTTTTTGGATACATCTCAAAGAAAGGTGACCAACGGAATACTGTTTGTCAAGTTTGGAATCTCGTGTGCACCGTGATGAGCGAAACAATCAATACAGTTCAATAAATAAATGTAAAGAATTTAGTAATATAACAATAAATGACAGGTAAACAAATTCCATCGGGAAAGCCCAAATCCATTCTTCTTATAAAACCTGAACCTCACCTCTGTCCTTGTTCTTCCAGTTGGAACACACTTTTTATTACGTTAAACTAAAGTCGTGTTCACTTCTGACAGGTGTTGATAATTGCCAAACCGCCGTGGATATGAAGAGTTTCATTGTACAACTCGAGGCGTGAAGAATGCCATGGAACAAGACCAAAATACTTAAGGACAAAGATCAAGAAATGAAGACTTAGTCGAGTCGGTCTTATTGTGATCAAAACCGACAATCAACTCAAGTCTCGGTTCTCAAAGAGTCAAAATAATTTTACAAAATCATAAATTGTTTTTGTGCATCAAATAAATGTTTTTAAAGTTTCATTGTATTAAAATCCCTGGTCCGTGCCGAGACCAAAACTCACCTCAGTCGGCGCTCGGTGTTCGGCATCGGCATACGGCATTCGGGGTTCGGTTTTCGGCGTCCGAACCAACTCGGTTGTTTTCAATATTTTAAACCTCATTTTTACCTCTGGGCATATTTATGTTGGAGTTGTGCCCTGATGGCCAACTGTTCATCGTTATCCTATCATGTATAGGCAGATATAATATGTTTACACATCTCATGCTAATGTAAACAAATATTATATTCCTAGATTTATATTTAAAGATGTTCATCAGATAGTGTTATTCTGCTGATGAGACTAACATCTTGAAATAAATATTTATCTAAATGTCCATAGTCGACTATTAACGAGAGTGGGATATCATTAATGTAAGTGAGACTAGTGTGTGTTGGATGTTTGACTTAGTCTCATGGTCAATGACAGTGTGTTCGCATCCGCACATGGGCAGATATTATCTAGAGATAATAGGATGCCGGACTGACCCATTCTAAAGATGTTGCTTGAATTTTTAGTTCATGCTCTAAGCATCTTTAGCGCGACCACGGGTGTAACTATCCTTCGACTTGAAGTATTACGTTTTCTGCATATGTAAACCCGCATACTTTGATGCATTGTCCTAAGCTATATGAAATAAGGATGGTATACAGGCTTTGTTTTGGGTATGCCGCAGCGCGTATTCAGAAACGTAGATTACGTACATAGGATTTGTCACTACTCTTTTTAAAGAAATTAATGTCTTATGGGGCCCACTGATAAGTTATGACTAAGGAAATTGCATGGCCATGTTGAGATACTTTTATGACGTCTGTTCCTATTAGTCGGACTTGATAAATCAGTGAATGACTTAATGGATACAAGTTGGATTTTATTAATCCCTTGCATTGAGGTTAGACATTGAGACAAAGGGATACAATTACACGGTGTCTGAGTCGTGGAAAGGTTTTGACAGTGCAAACGTCTTAACTTATAATCTGGGGGCAATAATGTGTTGCTAGATACCGCTTATTGCTTATAGTATTGGTGCAGAGCCAATACAGTGGCCAGCTATATAAGTGCCTATACGGGTCACACACTTTGAACAATTTAAGGAGTAGGATTAAACAATGGGATAATAAGTAATTTGTATATTTGTAAAATAGTAAAATAAAATATTCTGAATATTTTATTTTGGTTTGTCATTTTAATTATGAAAATAATTAATTTGACATAAACTATTTAAAGTATATTTTTATACTTGTTTAAAAATGATGTTGGTATTTATTTGATTTAAAATTAATTTTATATTAATTTTTGGTTTCAAATAAAATACACTTTGAACATTTTAGTGGAGAAGAATTTTGAAAATCCTTCTCACAATCACAAAGAATATTTTCGGCCATCATAAGGATTTTGAGAATCAAACTTTCCTTGATTGCTAATTAAGTGGCTAGTTAATTTTGTCATTTAGCTAATGACAAAAATAGTTTGATTAATCACTTTGAATCTTTTGTTTTCTTTTTAAAATGTTACACGACACTTTGAAATAAAAAGGGGGTGAAGATTATCATTTTCATTAGTGTGTCATTCGGCCATATTTTTCTAGAGAGAAGAAATATTAGTTTGGTTCCATTAATATCATTTTGTGTATAGAAAATATTTATAATATTTTCTAAATATTATTAGAAATATTTTCTATAGAAATATACAAGATTATTATTATCCCAAATGTTAATCTTTATATTTTATACTACTATAATCTTTACTAGCATAAAGATTGTGGTAGACTCTGGCGTTGTTTGTGTGTCAAAGTTGGAGACCGGACGCTTGAACGGTTACGTTTGCACTTTCAACGCTCTTCCTACGACTTCTTCGTTTTAACCGCTTACAGAGAAAGGTATAAATTTCTTACTACTATATGTTTTAGTACGTGATTCTGGGCAAGATAATCATGTTTGGATGTTAAAATTTTTATATTCCGCTGCCTATCCTTAAATGGTTACCTTTCAATTTAAAAGGTTCCCAAATAATTATTTTATAAAAACCACTTTTGTATCTTGGTCAATCGGTCTAACACGTGAAAAACGGTCAAAACCGTACACATGTGATAAATGACCTTAAAAACTCGGTTTTTATCAAACCAGCCTTGGTTTCACTATTTTATACCATATTTAATGTTTTTCTAACTTGGTTTTTACATTTGGGAACACTTCGTTTTTGGACCTCGGTTTTTCTAAACGGGTTTTCACCGGCTGGGTCTTTGCTGGGTGATAATCGATTATCACCTTAGTGACAATCGACTATTAGCCTCTGCAGCTTTTGAACTTAAAGTTCCGAAGCACGCAATAATCGATTGTCACTTCTGCAACAATCGATTATCACAGTCTGCAGCCAAAACCCAGGAACTTCTGAGAGGACCAATAGTCGATTATCACTTGTTGACAATCGATTGTCTGGGTTACCGTTGTCCTCCAACGGATAGAATTTTAAATTTTTGGACAAGGAATCTTTTGATAATCGATTATCAAGGCTAAAGAATCGACTATCACCCTGCATCTGTGGAAAATTTGTCTTCATCTTGTTGGAAATTCTAGCAACGGGTTTATCCCATTTTAGGCTATAAAATGGCACCAAAATGCTCTCATTTTACACACAATTCTTCAACATTTCAATACTCTTTCATTGCATAAGCATTCCTAATTTTTTTTGGCTATTTGAGAGCCAATTCTTGAAGAAATTGTTGTGTTCTTGAGCGTTTACTAGTTCACTCATATCTACTCTTTGTGAGAGTTTTATTCCTGAGTGTTTAAGTGTTTCTATACACTTTAAGGGAGGTTGTTCCCTTGTTGTAAACCCGAAGGAAGTCTTTCGTTCCTTCGTGAGAAGTCTTGGAGTGCGGTATCTCTGAGCAAAGGCGTTGAGGCTCGTGTGACTCGAGTTCTCAAGTTGTATCGGTTTGTTGAGCACATTTAAGCTTAACGGAGTTAGTGTAACTCGAGAGAGTCTCTCGAAAGGCTGGATTAGCCACACATTGTGGTGAACGAGGATAAAAATCGGTGTGCTCCTTCCTTACGCTCTTTACTTTTTTGCTCTCATTTTTAATTTCTTGCAGTTTTGCTTTAAACGCTATTCACCCCCCCTCTAGCGTTGGGCCTTTATTCTAACAATTGGTATCGGAGCCATACTCTCTGAAAGACTTAACCGTTTGAGAGAAACGATCAATGGCTTCTACTCAAAGCTCATACGCAGGTTTAGGTGAAGGGCAATCCACCACGAGGCCTCCGTTGTTTGACGGAACGAACTACACCTATTGGAAGGAGAGGATGAGGATTTACATCCAATCCACCAACTTTCTCCTGTGGAGGATTATCAAAAATGGCGAAGATGTGCCCATGAAGAAGGTCAGGGAAACCAACGTCCCTAAGACCGAGAATGAGTACGATGTGCAAGACATCAAGAAAGTGGAGAACAATGCAAAGGCCATCAACATCATCTATTGTGCCGTAAACCCGGATGACTACCGGAAGATTTCTTATTGTTCCACCGCCAAGGAAATGTGGGACAAACTAGAAATCACCTATGAAGGTACGGATCAAGTCCGAGAAGCTAAAATCAATTTTCTAACCCATGAATATGAATTATTTCGTATGAAGGAGAATGAGAAAATCGATGAGATGTTTGAATGATTCTCCAAAATCGTCAATGATCTCCATGCTCTCAAGGAGACGTACACGGACAAGGAGCTTGTGAGAAAAAGCCTGCGGAATCTCACACCGGAATGGCGCTGCAAAGCCGATGCCATCCAAGAGTCCATTGGTGTCACCAACGTCACCATCGACGGGCTTAGAGGTAACCTCAAAACATATGTGTCTACCATCCTTCTCCCCTCTTTAGTTGAACAAAAGAAGAAGGGGATTGCACTCAAGGCTTCCTCAAGCCAAGAACCCGCCATGGAGGAATCAAGCGATGAAGACAACGAGTTCGGGCTCGTTATCAAGAAATTCTACAAGTTCATGCGTAAGGAGTATGAACGAAAGGGCAAGAAGCATGGAGGTCCACCCAAGTGCTATGGGTGTGGAGAAGTTGGGCATATCAAGCCAAAATGCTCAAATGCCAAGAACAAGAAGGAGAAGAAACCGTTGAAGAAGCACCGAGCTTACATCTCTTGGGGAGGTGATTCCGGCGACAAGTCATCGGAAGGCGAAGAAAATGAAAGCGCCAATCTTTTTCTCATGGCACACGAGGAACCACCAGAAGAGGTATGCACCACTTCTAAAGATTCTTATTCTTTTGATGATGTACAAGAAGCTTTTAATGAACTTTATGATGAATATGTCAACGCTTCTAAAATTAACAAGGATTTGAAGAAACAACTTACTTCCATGGAGAAGGAAGTTGATAAACTATCAAAAGATAATGAAAAACTTAAAGAAGAAAATAAGTTTTTCGGAAAAAGAAGCGCCGACAAACCGGAAAGTTCAAAATGTAGTTCTTGTACATCACTTAAGCAACAAGTTGCAAAACTTGAAGGAACCTTGAAGAAATTTGGTGTTTCTCATAAAAACCTTAATGATGTTATTGACAATTTGCAACTTACTAAACATGGCTTAGGGTTTGAGAATGAAACTAATAATAATAAGGAAAAAGTTGAGGAACCACCTAAACAACCTAAGGCTCAACCTAGGGAAACTAAAATGAGCAATAATAGACAACCTACAACAACTAGAAACACTAGACCACCTAGAAAGAACACTAGGTTAAACAATGGTCAAGTTAGAGAACCTAGAAACAATTTTACAAATATGCATAAACAAAACTTTTCTCAAACTAGGATCAATCAATATAGAAAACCTAGTAACTATTATCAACCTAGGAGAATGCATAATCCAAATGTTATTTGTCATTATTGCAATAGGGTAGGACATATAGCCCCAATATGTTTCACTAGGCATAGGCATTGCACTCAAAACCAATCACACTACTAACGTGCACCTAACGCCCAAGGACCCAAAAGGAATTGGGTACCTAAATCTTTTTAAATTGATTTGTAGGTGTGCTTGAAGGCATCAAGTGTACTTTGGTACCTTGATAGCGGATGCTCCAAGCACATGACCGGAGATGCATCCAAGTTCTTGCAAATCAAACCAACTAAAGGAGGAAATGTTGTCTTTGGCGATAATAGCAAAGACAAGATAATCGGCATTAGTTCGGTTGGTAAAAACGAATCCTCCTCTATTGATAATGTGTTGTTGGTTAAGGGTCTTAAACACAATCTCTTGAGCATAAGTCAATTGTGTGACAAGGGAAATCGTGTGACCTTCGAATCTAAATCATGCACGGTAGAATGTCTTAGTGACAATAAGATGATTCTTCGTGGTGATAGAATCGATAATATTTATATGGTTAACTTAGATGAATCTCCCTCCGACTTTTCCAAATGTCTCATGAGTAAGGAAGACGATATGTGGCTATGGCATCGTAGAGTAGCTCATGTCAACATGAACCTTTTGAATAAATTGGTTTCACAAGACTTAGTAGTTGGCCTTCCAAAACTCAAGTTTGAGAAGGATACCATGTGTGATTCATGTCAAAAGGGCAAGCAAGTAAGGGCCTCATTTAAATCGAAAAATGTTATGTTTACAACAAGGCCCCTACAACTTTTGCACATGGATCTCTTTGGACCATCAAGAACAAAAAGTTTTGGGGGAAACTATTTCGCCTTTGTGATTGTTGATGACTACTCTCGATTAACATGGACATTATTTCTAACTCACAAAAGTGAGGCATTTCATGTTTTCAAAACTTTTCTCAAAAAGGTTCAAAATGAAAAAGGCTTAACCACCGTAGCCATACAAAGCGATCATGGTGGAGAGTTCGAACGAGATCTCTTTACCAAGTTTTGTGACGAACTAGGCATCGAGCATAACTTCTCCGCTCCACGTACACCACAACAAAATGGCGTGGTGGAACATAAAAATCGTTGTCTCGAGGAGATGGCTAGAACTATGCTCGATGAGGCAAAAATTCCTAAGTATTTTTGGGCGGATGCCGTGAGTACCGCGAGCTACATGTTAAACCGAGCCGTCATTAGACCGATACTCATGAGAACCCCATATGAATTATACAAAGGAAGAAAGCCAAACCTCTCCCATCTTCGAGTCTTTGGTTGCAAATGTTTTGTTCACAATAACGGAAAAGATAACTTGGGTAAATTCGATGCAAAGTCGGATGAAGGAATTTTTCTTGGTTATTCATGCGTAGTAAGGCTTATAGAGTTTTAATCAAACGTACCTTAACCGTTGAGGAGTCTCCTCATGTTGTTTTTGCCGAAAATGATACTCGCTTGGCAAGAAAGGTTTCTTGTGATGATCTTGTAGATTCATTGGAGAACATCTATCTCAACGACAATGACGAAGGAAACAATTCAAAGGATGGTCAAGATGAAGAAGTAGAGCCATCTATGAACGAGGAACAACCACAAGAGGAAGAGACGCAAATGCCAAGGGCTTGGAGAACCTCAAAGGACCATCCTCTTGACAAGGTAATCGGTTACATCAACCGAAAGGTAAGTACTCGTAGCTCTCTTAGGGACACCGTAGGTCACATGGCTTTTGTTTCACAAATTGAACCTATAACCATTTCGGAAGCAATTGATGATGAACATTGGACCTTGGCAATGCAAGAGGAACTTAACCAATTCAAACGAAATGACGTTTGGGAGTTGGTGCCAAGACCCGATGATCATACCATAATTGGTATGAAATGAGTGTTCCATAACAAACTCGATGAAAATGGCATAATCACTAGAAACAAAGCTAGGTTCGTAGCTAAAGGCTACAATCAAGAAGAAGGAATTGATTTTGAAGAAACTTATGCACCGGTAGCACGTTTAGAAGCTATTCGTTTATTACTCGCTTTTGCTTCATCTATGGATTTTAAACTATACCAAATGGATGTTAAGAGTGCCTTTTTCAATGGTTTTATTCAAGAGGAAGTGTATGTTGATCAACCCCCGGGCTTTGAGGATTTTGAGCACCCGGAGTATGTCTATAAACTAAAGAAAGCACTCTACGGTCTTAAACAAGCACCTCGTGCTTGGTATCAACGTTTGAGCAAATTTCTTTTGGTCAACGGGTTCAAAAGGGGGAAGGTTGACACTACACTTTTTATCAAGAGTAAAAACAAAAACATCCTCTTGGTGCAAGTTTACGTAGATGACATTATATTTGGTGCTACTAACGAATATTTGTGCAAGGAATTTTCAATCTTAATGAGAAATGAATTTGAGATGTCCATGATGGGGGAACTCAATTTTTTCTTGGGTTTACAAGTCAAACAAATGAGAGAAGGAACCTTCATTTGTCAATCAAAGTATTGCAAGGGGCTCCTAAAAAGATTTGAAATGGATGGCTCCAAGGCAATGGCTACCCCGATGAGCACCTCTGAACACTTGGACAAAGATGAAAAGGGTAAGGAAGTAGACGTAAAGAAGTATCGAGGTATGATCGGATCCCTTCTTTATCTTACTGCTAGTAGACCCGATATCATGTTTAGCGTTTGTTTATGTGCAAGGTATCAATCTTGTCCAAAAGAATCGCATTTAACGGCGGTGAAACGGATAATGAAATATCTTGTTGGTACAATGAACGTTGGATTGTGGTACCCCAAAGGGTCTCCTTGTCATCTTTTTGGCTATTCAGACTCAGACTTTGCCGGTTGTAGATTAGACCGTAAGAGTACGAGTGGGACGTGTCACTTGCTTGGTAGCTCATTAGTTTCATGGTTTAGTAAGAAGCAAGTCAGTGTTGCGTTATCCACAACCGAAGCGGAATATGTTGCCGCCGGTAGTTGTTGTGTTCAAATCCTTTAGATGAAGCAACAACTAGTGGATTATGGCCTTAGTATCGATCATGTTCCTCTTCGATGTGATAATACTAGCGCCATAAGCTTGACGAAGAATCCGGTTCTTCACTCAAGGATGAAACATATTGACATTAGGCATCATTTCATTAGAGATCATGTTCTCAAAGGTGATGTCGAAATTGAGTTCGTTGAAACACACAACCAATTAGCCGACATTTTCACAAAACCATTAGAGAAAGAGTCGTTCTTCCGCATTCGTAGTGAACTCGAAATCCTTGACTCCACGATGATCTAATTTGTGCACTAATTACTATTTTTAGTCATTACTAACTTGAACGTCGGAGACGTTTTTAACTTTTTTTTGCAGGGCTTGTCTTTTAATCTTATTTTCAGGTGTCAAAGTCGGGGGAACAAAGTAAATCGATTTTTGGTTTCCAAACTATGTTAAATCGATTTACAGGCATGTGATAATCGACTATCACAGCCCGCGGAAGTTTGGAACAAATCAGCCACAAACTTCAGATAATCGATTACTAACATTGTGTTAATCGATTATTTGAGGTCGCTGAATATTTTCAGACATCAAACGCAAACCAGCGACAGTCGATTATCAGAATAGAGACAATCGACTAACAGAGGCTGCGGATTCTCCAGACAAGAATCAGAGGAGCTCAATACTTGATTTACAGAAGTTGTAAATCGACTAACAACGACAGATTTTCAAAAATCTAACCGTTTTCTAGCCAATTGGGGAGCATTTAACTCATGTTAGACCACCCCAACGGATCTCCAAAGCCTCCTCTCCATATATTGGTGATATTTCTTCATTTCTTACTCATTCCAATCCAAATTACTTCATATATTCATCATAATTCCTCAATTCTTGCTACTGTTCTTCAATTCTTAGCCAAATTTCTGCAAATTTCCTCTGTTCTCTCTCTACTTTGTTGAAATGGCAGGAGGACAAAGAAAGCGTTCCCGCACCGGCAAGAACGTGGCTTCCATCTCGACTCCTCTACCACCGGCGCACAAGTACCTCGATGGGTCGTTCCTTCGATTCAACGACCGCACAGAGGCGACGCGGTTCTCGGAGAAGTTTGAGCACCGGGAAATTCTCCCTCCCCGGTTCTCCACCGCCCGCTTCATTCACGATTCCATTCCACGTGAGGCACGGGTTATCCTCGAACGTGGAAACTTCCTCGACCTCCTCTACATCAAGAAGGCTCACTATCAACCTTTTCTCATTCGAGCTTTCTACTCGAATTTGACAAAGGATGAGGATGGAGCGTTTATTTCAAACGTCAATGGGGTGGATATCTATTTGAATGAGGAGAACATTCAAATACTCACTGGGCTACGTCGGAATGGAGAGGATCTTGGTCTCTACGTCGGTGAGGGAGGGGCACAGTTCAACGAAACTGCCCTCTTGGAGGAAGTGGGAATCCGAATCTTCGCCCCCACTCCCCAACAGCGGCGCCCGACGATTACTTCCATGAATCCCGTGTTTCGATTCATATTTTATGTTTTGACACGGATCCTCAAGCCAAGGAAGTTCAATCACACCGCTCTCTCCCAAGAGGACACGAAGACGCTTCATGCGATGATTCACAACGCCAACATTAATTGGTGTAAATTTGTGATGACTCACATGTTTAGCGCCACCTCCGACGATCGGCCGCTCCCCTACGCCCTCCTCGTCATGGCGATTCTTGATGAGTACAACATCAAGACCGACGTTGGGCCAAAGATAAAGGGGACAAAGCATTGGGAGATTGATGAATCCTCCTTTCACTCGGGCACCGACGAGACTCTGTTTCGACAACCTCGTCCACGACGCCAAGCAAGGGATACTTCTTCAAACACCCCATCTCTAGCCGAGCAAATGGCCGCCTTGACCGCTACTCTTTCTCGGATAGACACCAACGTCTCCCAAACGGCCCAAAACGTCAACATTTTGAGCCATGAGCTTCACGGGTATTTTGACTTTGTCAACTACCCTTACGCTCCTCCACCGAATCTCGGGGGTGAACCAAGCGGGACTAATAACGTTGGTGGAGAAGAAGAGGTGAATGATGAGGAAGAAGAGGAAGAGGAAGCCGAAGAAGAAGAAGAAGATGATGATGATGATGATGTTGAGGATGAAGAGGAAGAGGAAGAGGAAGACATCGACGAAGAACAACTCCTCGATGATCTTTCACCGGACTTCTAGAGCTCTAGCTCTTTTCTCTTCTCTTCTTTAATTATTATGCATTTTAAATTTGCTTCCGTTATGTACTTCGCTATTTCCCTTATTTAATGAATAAATATCTTTATGGTTTTTGTTGTTAAATCTTTTTGTTAATGTCAAAAGGGGGAAGATAAGGGCTATGCATATATTAAGGGGGAATTTTTATTAAGGGGGAATTTCTTTCAAAAAGATCAAAACCCTTTGCATATCCCCGTCTCTTTTTCCATTATCAAAAAGGGGGAAATTGTTGGAACACACTTTTTATTACGTTAAACTAAATTCGTGTTCACTTCTAACAGGTTTTGATAATTTCCAAACCACCGTGGATATGAAGAGTTTCATTGTACAACTCGAGGCGTGAAGAATGGCATGGAACAAGACCAAAAGACTCAAGGACAAAGATCAAGAAATGAAGACTTAGTCGAGTCAGTCTTATTGTGATCAAAACCGATAATAAATTCAAGTCTCGGTTCTCAAAGAGTCAAAATAATTTTACAAAATCATAAAACGTATTTGTGCATCAAATAAATGTTTTTAAAAGTTTCATTGTATTAAAATCCCTGGTCCTTGCCCAGACCAAAAATCACCTCGGTCGGCACTCGGTGTTCGGCATCGGCATACGGCATTCGGGGTTCGGCGTTCTGTTTTCGGCGTCCGAACCAACTCGGTGGTTTTCAATATTTTAAACCTCATTTTTACCTATGGGCATATTTAAAAGGTTCCCAAATAGTTATTTTATAAAAACCACTTTTGTATCTTGGTCAATCGGTCTAACACGTGAAAAACGGTCAAAACCATACACATGTGATAAATGACCTTGAAGACTCGGTTTTTATCAAACCAGCCTTGGTTTCACTATTTTATACCATATTTAATGTTTTTCAAACTTGGGTTTTACTTTTGGGAACACTTCGTTTTTGGACCTCGGCTTTTCTAAACGTGTTTTCACCGGCTGGGTCTTAGCTGGGTAATAATCGATTATCACCTTAGTGACAATCGACTATCAGCCTCTGCAGCTTTTGAACTTAATGTTCCGAAGCACGCAATAATCGATTGTCACTTCTGCAACAATCGATTATCACAGTCTGCAGCCAAAACCCAAGAACTTCTGAGAGGACCAATAGTCGATTATCACTTGTTGACAATCGATTGTCTGGGTTACCGTTGTCCTCCAACGGATAGAATTTTAAATTTTTGGACAGGGAATCTTTTGATAATCGATTATCAAGGCTAGACAATCGACTATCACCCTGCATCTGTGGAAAATTTGTCTCCATCCTGTTGGAAATTCTAGCAACGGGTTTATCCCATTTTAGGCTATAAAATGGCACCTAAATGCTCTCATTTTACACACAATTATTCAAAATTTCAATACTCTTTCATTGCATAAGCATTCCTAATTTTTTTTGGCTATTTGAGAGCCAATTCTTAAAGAAATTGTTGTGTTTTTGAGCGTTTACTAGTTCACTCATATCTACTCTTTGTGAGAGTTTTATTCCTTAGTGTTTAAGTGTTTCTATACACTTTAAGGGAGGTTGTTCCTGTTGTATTTAGGTGCCCTAGCGGCAACCAATTACCTATGTAACTGTACACTTTATCATGAATGAAAGGCCTTGAAGTATGTTTTATATCTCGTGTAACATAACATAGCTTCAGTCCATAGACGATAGCGCTTCAGTAACATAGATGAGGACTACGATGTTCTGATTATGATGTTGGAACACGGGTTTACGCCCATGTCGTACTAAGCCGTGTTCGTTTTATGACAGGTTTTGATAATGCCAAACCGCCGTGACAATAACAAGGTTAAACTGAGCAAAACCAAGGCAAAGGAACATGGCATGATGAACGGAGAACCAAGAACCAAGAATCAAGAACGAAGACTTAGAATTATATTGAGTCGGTTTTAATGTGATCAAGACCGGCACAAACCTTCAAAACATGGCTCTCTAGGCTCATTTCATCAAAATACTTTTTGCATATTCAAAATGATTTTCTTAAGTCTTAAACCTGCCTGAAAACACTTGGAGTTCGCCCAAACCAAAAACCAAGCCATCCGGCGTTCGGTTTTCAGAAATCGGCGTTCGGCTCTCGATTTTCGGCATTGGTTTTCGGCGTCCCAACCAACCAAATGGTTTTCAACTTTTTATGACTGGTTTTTACTTCTGGGCATATTTCAATAGTTCTCCAACAAAATTGCCTCAAAAACCACCTTCCGTTTTTGGTCCTTTAGTGAAAACCATGCGAAATGGCACGAACTTGGTTAGTCGTGGTTTTCAACTAAATGACATGGTTTTTAAAATGTTTTACTTGATTTCTTAGCAAAATGCAATAAACAAATGTTTTCAATACTTGGTTTTTACTTTGGAGAACTTGTGTTTTTGACATCGGCTAACGGCGTGACTAAACCAACCATGGGTCTGGCTAAACCAGCGCAACAGCGATGTTGAGGTAACCAACAGCGCTGTCTGGCTTGGGTAGCTAAAAACATGGTTTGGCATTAAGTCCTCCAACAGTGATGTTGGACATTAGACATCGCTGTTGAGCCAAGGTTAGATTTCCAGAAACTTCTGCAACAGCGATGTAGGCTTCCCTACAACGCTGTCCAACCTAAGCCAAAGATATTGTGCATTGGCAGAAAGTTTTTGGACAGAGATGTTGACCCAGAAACAGCGCTGTCAGGCCAAACTTCCATCTTCAAAGGCAGACCTAAACAGCGATGTTCTAGTATGGAACATCGATGTAGAGACCTGACCGTTGGAAGGAATTTAAGGCTAAAACTTTCCTTGTTTGGAAGTCAACAGCCAAAACAGCGATGTAGGGATTTTAGACATCGCTGTTGGCATGACCGTTGCTTCCCATTTTTCAAAACGCAAGCCTAGAACAGCGATGTCCAAGCCTAGGACAGCGCTGTCAGGCCAAACTTCCATCTTCAAAGGCAGACCTAAACAGCGATGTTCTAGTATGGAACATCGATGTAGAGACCTGACCGTTGGAAGGAATTTAAGGCTAAAACTTTCCTTGTTTGGAAGTCAACAGCCAAAACAGCGATGTAGGGATTTTAGACATCGCTGTTGGCATGACCGTTGCTTCCCATTTTTCAAAACGCAAGCCTAGAACAGCGATGTCCAAGCCTAGGACAGCGCTGTCTGGGTGAATTTCAACAGATCCCAATTTCACCAAATCCCACAAATTGTGCCAATCACCCCTTAAATACTTTGGTCCGTTGGAGCCTATTTTTCTACTATAAAATGGGGTGTTTGGGTCTGTTTTACATAATTACATTACTTCACAACTCCTACTCTTTCATTGCAAATCATTCTTCAATTATTCATAGCTTTTGAGAGCCATTTTTTTTGAAGCTTGTGTTGTGTTCTTGAGCGTTCTTAGTTTACTCATTATCCACTCTAAAAGAGAGTATTGTTCTTGAGTGTTTTTAGTGTTCTTAAACACCTGACAAGAGAAGGTATTTCTCTTGTTGTTCGAAGGAAGGGCTGTTTCCTTCGAAGGTTCGTTGAGGTTCGTGTGACTCGAATTCTCAAGTTGTACGGGTTTGCTAAGCACCGTTAAGCTTAACGAGGTAGTAGTGTAGCTCGAGAGAGTCTCTCGGGAGGCTGGATTAGCCACAAGTTGTGGTGAACCAGGGTAAAATCCGTGTGCCTCTTACTCTTCTCTTTACTTCTCGTTTATTCATTTTTTTTATTCCTGCGATTTTTGATCAAACGCTATTCACCCCCCCTCTAGCGTTAGTCTCTTATTCTAACCATTGGTATCAGAGCCTAACTCGCGTTCAAACTTAACCATTTGAGAGTAAAGCGATCATGGGCTCTTCTTCTAGAAATCTCTATGCAGGAATTGGAGAAGGTCAATCAACTTCTAGGCCACCACTCTTTGATGGCACCAACTACTCTTGTTGGAAGGAACGGATGAGAATCTACATTCGTTCCACCAACTTCTAATTGTGGTTGGTGATCAAAAATGGCGAGGAAATCCCTATGAAGAAAGTGGGAGAAACCACGGTCCCAAAGACCGAAAACGAATTTGATGCCGAGGACATCAAGAAGATTGAAAACTATGCAAAGGCCATCAATATGCTATATTGCGCGGTCAACCCCGATGACTACCGAAAGATCTCCTGTTGCACAACCGCCAAGGATATGTGGGACAAGCTTGAAGTGACGTACAAAGGTACCAATCAAGTTCGCGAAGCCAAGATCGATTTTCTCACCCAAAAGTACGAAATGTTCCGGATGAAAGAAGGTGAGAAAATTGATGACATGTTCGACCGTTTTTCAAAGATCATCAACGACCTTCATGCTCTCAAAAAGACTTACACCAACAAGGATCTCGTGAGGAAAATCGTGCGAAGCCTCACACCCGAATGGAGGTCAAAAGCCGATGCAATCTATGAATCCATTGGAGTCTCCAACGTCACCATCGACGGGCTAAGAGGTAACCTTAAGACCTATGAATCTACTATTCTAACCCCGTCTTTGGATGAACAAAAGAAAAAGGGGATAGCTCTCAATGCCACCAAGGAACCGGTGAAAGAGGCTTCAAGCGATGACGACAATGAATTCGGGCTCGTCATCAAGAAGTTCCACAAGTTCATGAAGAAGGAATTTGAGCGGAAGGGAAGGAAGCACGACGGTCCTCCCAAGTGCTACGGCTGTGGCGAGATTGGCCACATCAAGCCAAGGTGTCCAAAGGCCAAACACGGCAAGGATAAGCCTGGCTTCAAGAAGAAAAGGGCCTACATCTCTTGAGGTGGCGATTCCGGCGACGAATCAACCGACCAAGAGGAGGACGAAGCTGCAAATCTCTGCCTCATGGCGCACGAAGATCAAAGCGACGACGTCCAAGAGGTATGTAATATTTCTTCCGACTCTTACACTTTTGAAGAAATGCAAGAAGCACTACATGAACTTTATGAGGAATTTGTTAGCGCTTCTAAAACAAATAAATCCCTGAAGAAACGACTTTCTTTACTTGAAAACGATTTTGAAAAATTGGAAAAAGAAAATGAAATACTTAAACAAGAAAACAAATTTTTTGGAAAAAGA